TTTGCATCAAATTCATAGACTTAAAAACTAAATTAAAACAAACCTCAAATGTTTCTGTTCACTAACAAAATGTTGACAGTTTGTGCATGCAAACCTACAGCATGCAAACCTACAGCATGCAACCTGTACCTAAAGAGATGGTCTGCATATTAAAAGTTTCTGTAAGTGTTCCCAGTGCAGTTTTGACACAATTATCTCATAGATGTCATAGAAAATACATTTATCAATCATTTGAGTTTGTAGAAAATGAAATAAAAAATCTCAAAACCATATTAAAAAGCATCTCTGCTGTTAAATTTGAAATCAGTTTCAAATAACTATCTGACCTTAATAAGGCTCAATTGTTACAAAGGTATAAATGACTAATTTTTATAACATAGGTGATAATGATTTTAATTGATCTAAGGAGCTTTTTTGACAGAAAATAAAACAACAATTTCTCAAAGATAGCAAAACATGTCAAATAAAAAAAAACATTATCTAATTGTATTAATTTATGCTTTATTAAAAACTCTCATGACAAAATCATTTAGACTGCCATTAATAATCAGTGGGAACGTTTTCATTGGCATTGCAGCTGTATAATTAATTACTTATTGGTGACGAGCAACAGAAGTCATCAGGCACATCCTGGAAAGGTTGCCAGGTCATCACAAAAACGCAACTCAATTTGACCAATTAATTGAATTTGCCAGAGTATAACATGGCATAGTAATTTGCCATGTTCCTACCTCATCATAATGGGAAAATTAGTCTCTGCATTTTCTCCTATGCATGTAATATTTAATCACGAGGTTAAATAGAGCAGCATTCATAAGATTCAGAAATCTTCTGATGTAACAAAATGCCACATGTGTGCTTACATTTACTGAAATGGAAGCGTGTTGCCAACCACACAGGTATGGTTTTACTTAACCAGGTGAAACCCCATCGAGATCAACATCTCATTTTCACTGGGCAGAAAAAATACGCAACACAACAACCTGGTTACACAAAAATAAAACAACATTGAATCTACACATTGCTATTTTATAGATTACTCACTGAGACAAATAATCAGAAAAAATGCTTAAATCACAACTACATTCCCATTTATTGCACAATTATTTATTAATATTTTTGCTAAACCTTTTTTCTATGCTGCATAGGTTTAAAATTCAGTCCACGATTATTCTGTGAACAAATATTAAAAATATGTTTATTTAATTGGAAATTTCGCCCACAAAGAAACCAAGTTGAATTTAAATGGTGCAGGTGGTTAATGTAGCACCTGCACATTAACCTAGAAATGTGCAGGTATCAGCTGTGAGGCATCCACACCTGCGCATTGCAACAATTATTACAACTTTATCCAGAAAGCAATAAGATAAGATTCACACTGCAGATCAATACAAGGCTTTGTATTGACTTTGCATTTGTAAGTGCACAGACACAAACACATCTGACCCAAACATCCTGGGTGAAATGTAAATACCACACATTGGTAGGGAAGTTATGGTAAGTGATCATCTATGATCTTTTTCTGAGTGATGTACGTCACAGAAAATGGCCCAAATATGCGTTTGAAAAACATAATAACTTCTCCTTGTTTTGCAATAATAAAAAGAGGTTGATGTATTTGTAATTTCCCTTGGACACTTACGGTTAATTGTCCACGATTGTAAAGAGAAAACAGTCTATGTTTTGTTCTCTTATCTGAAATGTTCCTACCTCATCATAATGGGAAAATAAGTCTCTGCATTTTCTCCTATGCATGTAATAGTTAATCAGGAGGTAAAATAGAACAGCATTATAGTAAGAGTGTGGCTCCAGTTGGTGTAATGTGGAGGCCAATTTGAGAAAATGGGAGGAGGGTGTGGTTTCGACACAAAGAAGTTAGATCTCTGGAGAATGTTGGTTTTAGGACATAACTCTCCTTGTTAAAACAAAAGTTAATAAAATTGCAAGACTTACAGAAGGGTGGAAAGTTTAATTACCTTCCACCTTTCCTTCTTTTTTAAAGAATCTGCCTGTTTTTAGCTAAACCTACTGCAGTAATCTTACTGTTTGTATTTGCTTGAGCCAGAGCTGACCTATATGTGTGTGGGGGGAGGGTGCATGGACAAACACAGCTGCAAACTGCAGTCATTGTTCCCAATCTTGAAGGCTTGCTTCAAATAACAGAACGTTGTATGTCAGAGAACAATGAACAAAGTTTGAAGGTATCAGGTCTCAGTTTTCGTCCCTGTTTTTGTCCGTAGGACAAAACTCCACCTCTGAACCACAACTAAGGCTATTTATTGTCAGACCGAAACTTTTGAAGATTCAGAGTTGAGGAACCGTGTTCATAAACAGGTGTGACTGCGGAGCATGTAAAGACCCAAAAAAGAAGAATTTACGACGTGATCATCTTCGTTTCTACCAGTCATCACCTCTGGGCTCATCATGGCTTCTCAGGGGCTTCAGATCCTTGGTATCCTCCTGTCCTTTGGATGGCTTGGCACCATCATCACCTGCGCTCTGCCCATGTGGAGGGTCACCGCTTTCGTTGGGGCAAACATCGTCACCGCGCAGGTGATCTGGGAAGGCCTGTGGATGAGCTGCGTGGTCCAGAGCACGGGGCAGATGCAGTGCAAGGTGTACGACTCCATGCTGGCGCTATCTCAGGACCTGCAGGCCGCCAGGGCCATGGTGATCATCTCTGTGATTGTCGGCGTGTTTGGCATGCTCATGGCCATCGTTGGAGGGAAGTGCACCAAACTGCATGGACGACGAGGCGTCCAAAGCCAAAGCCTGCATCGTCTCTGGAGTAATCTTCATCATAACCGCCTTGCTAATCATGACCCCGGTGTCCTGGTCAGCTCACACAGTCATCAGGGATTTCTACAACCCCTTGGTGACGGCGGCACAAAGACGGGAGCTTGGCGCTGCGCTGTACATCGGTTGGGGCTCTGCAGCCCTGCTGCTTCTGGGAGGTGGTCTGCTCTGCAACAACTGCCCCCAAAGGACAACAGACCCTACATTCCTGCAAAGTTTGGCCCAGCAAGAACCGTCTCATCAAATGTGGACTATGTGTGAGTCTCCTGTCTGCAGAGATCTTTAATTCCATTGCTAAAAGTTTTAATCTAGTTCCTTACTTGTAGTTTTGTAGACCTTTTGATAAATTTTGAGGTTTTAAAAAGATCTTAGCAAGACCTTTAGAGTGAATGAACTTTTAAAGTTTTCTTATAATAAATTAGCAAATCATTATCTGAGTAATATGATAGTTTCTCCAACCATAGGCGTTAAGAAGCAATCAGCTAATTTTCCCTGATTGGTCAAAATCTGATTCTCTTTTTCCATTCACAAAAGAAAAAGAAATAATCAGAAACACAAGAGCAACAAAAAAGAGCAACTTCCTTCATTGACCTATAAATGCATCAACAATCAGCTGGTACTATGATGCTCCATTTGGGTCTAAAAACAAAAACAAAAAAAACCAACAGAAATTTCTTTGTTTTCCTGTGAATTTAGAAACCAGTACTATAAAGTGATTTGATGTACATTGGATTTCTTTAATATATCTGCAAAAGGTCATAATAAAGATGTTGAAATTCTCAAAGGAAACCATGAATAATATATACTGTTGCTGTAACTTTACCTTTTCTAGACAATTATGATGTTTTACAAAGGTTAAGAAATGAGCTGCATTACATAAAGATAACAACGGATGTTTGTTATCCTTCATCTGCCCTGTCAATAAACCTGAAATTGTTTCAAGACCTTGAAACAATTTCAAGGAGAGGAATCCAGCAGGGGAACCTCGTGGGAATTTACTGTAACTGGATGAGATGTTTGCTGTGCTGTAATGGAAAGCCGTTGTGTTGAGACAGTGATTTATCGTTTCTGTCTTGAGTAAAATGGATGTCACCGGCAGAGACAACAGAGGGCTGCGTATGCTTGGATCCATGTTGCTGAGAAACCATTTTAGTTGTTCAAAGAATGGATATTTTCACCTCCCTGGGTGAAAGGACGTCTTTCAAGTCTTCTGAGGAGGACAAACCTTTAAAAATCATCTTCAGTGCTTCAGATTCAAACATTTGAACACAAAAAAGAAAAGTAAATGAATGTAAACCCTCACTTTTGACTGCTAGAAAATGCACATGTATAGTTGTAATGATGAAATGTTTGTATTTTACTTTCATTAAAAAAAACAAGCTTGACAAAAATAACATTTGCGCCAAGTGTTTTTTTAAGTGTCACTTTAACATTTGTCAGCTTTACCAAGAATTTAAAAGGTTACAGATTCAAACCCGCAATATTTTCTGGGACAGTGTTTCTAAGTAATGTGCCAAGTGACTGAAGGAGTTTCCTCTGGCTGTTTAGAGCATAGAGACTACCCCTCCCCCACCTGTTGCTAAGTGTAGCTGATTAACTACCTGATAAAAGACGAAGGACTTCAGAGTTTCTGTTCACAATCAGACATTGCTTTTATTCACAAACCCAATATGAGAGTGACAACGTAAAGAGTGAAAATAAAAACTAAATCACAGACGCTGTTAAAACCAAAAAGGTTCTTCTGAAGAAAGCAGAGTAGAAGCAAGTAAAACCCAAATACCTCATATTGACAAACATCACAATGTAGGTAACTTATTTTTCTCAGCAGTTTTCTTGGTAAACATTTGGTCTTGATTTTTATTGACATTTTTCAGAGAACATCGCACCAGAATAGTTCATGAAGTGTTTTCATCAGCCACTTGTGCTGCTGGAGAAACGTGTGTACCTCACTTTGAAAACCTCTCCTCTGACAATTTAATTAACAGATTTAGATTTAAGAACATTTTCCCAATCTGAATTTTTGTGGCAGACAAATCTCCTCATTATAGTTGACTCCAAAAACCTATTTCACTATGCCACATTTTTGACATAAAATGTATTTATTTTAATGAAATATAGCATTGAAAAATGCATCTATAATAAAAACAAAGACAAGTTAGAAAATCTTACTGATCATCACAATCCATAAGTAAGGAATTATTGCCGAATACTGACATTTAATGAGTTAATTATCAATCTTTCTCATGCAGAAGGTCTGTTTATTTTAGTCGATGATGTTAGTCAGAATCCCCTCAGAAAGTTTGTTCTGTCTTTTGGTGAGTTCGACTCTCTGTTGCTCAGCAGCTCAGACAAACTCCTTCCCTGACGTTGCGGATTTCGGCGCAGTGTACTTTACTCCGTTGTAGTGCTCTCTTCTTGACGGGCACTGACAGCACAGCAGTGCCCCGCCGATCAGTAAAAGCCCCGCTGCCCCCCAGCCCACATACAGGCAGGCACCCAGCTCCCTCCTCTGGGCATCAGGAATCAGTGGGTTGTAAAAGTCCTTGATGATGGTGTTGGCCGGCAGAGAGACGGTCACAAGGCACAGCGCTCCGCTCAGGAGGAAGAAAACCCCAGCAGAGATGCACACTCGAGCCTTGGCTGTTTCATCCTCGATGCAGGTGGTGCATTTCCCACCGACCACAGACAGCAGCAGGCCGAAGGAGAAGAGGATGGAGATGACGCTCATGGCCCGAGCCGCCTGGAGGTCTGGAGGCAGAGCCAGGAGGGAGTCGTAGACTTTGCACTGCATCTGGCCTGTGCTCTGCACCACGCAGCTCATCCACAGGCCTTCCCAGATGCTCTGAGCCACCACAATGTTGTTGCCAATGAAGGCAGAGACTCTCCATAGCGGCAGCGCGCAGATCAGGATGTTCCCCAACCATCCGATCACGGCCAGAGCGACCCCAAGAATCTGCAACCCTAAAGACGCCATCGCCGTTTCTGTCAGGTTTCTTCGTCTTTCCTCTGAGCCTGGCCACCAACTGAAAGTTCGTCTGCTGCAAGAAGTTTTATGCAAGTCTGTCGGGGTGGGCTCTCGCACCAGTGTTCACATATACACATCTATTATGGTTGAGCCAAGAGGCGTTCCCCTCACATAAAGAGGCCCTTCAGTACCCCCAAAAAACAGATTGGAGAACAAAAAGAACTCACAGCCTGTGTATGAAGGACAAGCATAAAAAGACCATTTAAAACAAACCTGAGTTTTCACCTATAGGTTAGTAAAAGAAAAATACAACAGCAAATTCTTAAAGAAAAAGTCAAAAATTGAGGCTATGTTTCCTGTTAAATGCCATCTTTATAAACGTTTACATTTTTTTACTAATAAAATCTTAACGTGTTTACAGTTATGTTCCAACTAAATTAGTAGAATCCATTTATTTGCTCTGAGAATTTGAATATTTCAGAAAATCAATAGAAAAATACTTTTATGAATGCTATGGCCTCAGTAAAATGCTGTACTTTGCACACTGATGGAAAGTTTAGCGGAAGGAAAAAAAATCTGGTTGAAAAGAGATGCCTCCATTCTCGAGAGGATTGTGAAGCCCTGTATTTCTAAGATTTTAGAAATACTGTGCTGTTTTCAAACACGTGATTATGAGCAGCTGGACAGCCAGGGAAAAACGAATAAACGTTTCCACATAAACCTGCTTTTCTCATTTGAAGAGCTATGAATTGATTTTTGTAAAAGGACAAAAGTTCCCCAAAGTAGAGAGAGTATAAAGTACATGAACAGAGTTCATCATGAGCTGCTTCTGCTGCAAAGAGCACTTGTTTCTGCAAATACAACTAATACAACAAAAATTGTTTGTCACACAAATGCCACTCTGATCAAACTTCAACCCAAAAAGTCTTAAATTTAGTCCAACAATTAGATAACTATGAACTTAATACCAGCTTTTTGATGCAAATTTTTTCCACTATAAACTGACAGTATTTGAGCTTCAACAGTCACCAAACACAAACTAAAACATTAGTGAGCCAAAATCATCCAATCAAATCTATTAAAGCTGATATTTTAAGCTGAATTACTGAAACAATATTTTGATGATATTCTACTCTATGTTATAAATCCATGATATTTCTTTGTTTGCTTGTTTTTAATTCAGTTTATATGAAACTACATGACTTCAATTCAAACTTGGCCTGTATTTTATGAATAATAATTCTCCCAACTTTAAATGGACAAAAAAAATAAAATAAAATAAATTCTTGTAAAATCTGCTGCTAACTATCTATTTGACATACATGCAGTTTTAATGGAACCATATAAAGGTATTTTAAGTCCATACAAACAAGCACTTTTCCATTTCTATTCCATGTGTATCGTGAACAGAATATTTTTAAACACAGTTTAACAATCGTTAAATGCAACAATAAATCCTGATCTCATTTTAATCCCCTTTTATCTGTAGATGAAAGCAGAACCAGGTATGCTTTCATCTAAAAGCAAGCAGCCTCCAACATCTATTGAACTCAGGTGGAGCCACTCAGCTTGATTAATTCCCAGCTGTTGTCAGGCTGATCAGTTCTTGGCAGTCAGTCAGATTCACCGCTCATGCTTCCTTTATTTAAAGCTGCAGGTGAGGATTGTTTGCATTATTCATTGCTGCTGAAGAGACTTTCAACCTTTTGTGCAACTGAAGCAAAGATGGCATCTGCAAGCATCCAGATTTTAGGCATCTTCCTTGCAAGCATTGGTTTTGTTGGTGACATCATCACTTGTGCCCTGCCAATGTGGAAGGTGTCTGCCTTTGTTGGGAACAACATCATGACGGCGCAGATCTTCTGGGAGGGCCTGTGGATGAACTGCGTGAAGCAGAGCACGGGCATCTGCAGTGCAAGTTCCACACCTCCATGCTGGCTCTGCCTCAAGAACTTCAAGCTGCTCGCGCTCTGGTTGTGGTCTCAATCATCATTGCTTTCCTGGGACTCCAGCTAGCCGTCGTAGGGGGAAAGTGCACCAACTGTGTTGAAGATGAACTTGCTAAGAGCCGCATAGCCATCGCTGCAGGTGTGTTCTTCATTGTTGGAGGTCTACTGTGTCTGATCCCAGTGTCCTGGTCTGCCAACGAGATAATCAAGACCTTCTACAACCCCAACGTGCATGATGCCAAGAAGAATGACCTTGGTGCGGCGCTCTTCGTCGGCTGGAGTTCAGCAAGCCTCCTGATCATCGGCGGGCTCTGCTCTACTGTCGGTGCCAGCAGCAGAATGGGCGCTACTCTGTTAAGTCTGCACCACGCGTGGCTGGCAGCAGAGCCTACGTTTAATCTGACCAGACTGTTTCCCTGAAAGTCTGGTCCGAGGAGGACCTGGGCTGACCTCCACTCCAGGGTTTTTATTTTAAACTTGCTGATTTTTAATAAAACTCCTCTTTAATGCAAGTCTGTGTCTAGATATTGTTGGGTGGGGTGTCACAACTTGCAGCGGTCTACAATGGGAGCAAGTATCAGTTAAAATTGACTAATTACACAAACTCTCCAACTGTAAATAAGCTGCTGAGTTTAAGCCTGACTTGTACTGCTGCCATTGCTTGAACACTCACTAGCACCAAGCTAATGCACTTTACTGAAAGCCTGGATGCTCATCTCAACATGTGCACCTCTTGTTGTGGCGAAACCAAAATATTACTGAAACTGCAGTTTTGGTTAAATCCAACTGGATGCTACATCAGATAGAGAAATAAAGCGGGTACATTGTGACTTTGAGCAGTGTAGCTAAAATATTCTGAACTGCAATTTAAAGCTCCAGCATATTAGCCTGAACATGCAGCCAGTTCAGGGTTCCTTTGACATTTAACTCCAACTGGGTCTGTTTCTCCAACAGAAATGTTTGGAAGATAATTTATACCCAGTTTCTTCAGTGGAAATACGACAAAGTTTATCAGGAAATATCTTTTCCACACATGAGCTGGTGACTCAGTGCTGTTGGTGTTTCCTAATGAGCTGAGGCTAATTTATGTGCTTTGCTTCATTAGCTGAGGATTATTTACACAAAGTAGTTTGACAGTTACAAAACCGCCCAATTAAACTGGTTAAATAGCAGCCTAGACTTGTTCAGCTGTTCTCCAAAAAACAGTTTTATAAAACACTGAACACATGTATCTACCACAGACGGAAAATGTCCCAGTGTTTGTATTTTGGCTTTTGACCAAACAACCAACTGGTTAAATCCACCCAACAGTTGTTAAAACTTCTAAGTAAGTAAAGTTTAGTTCACCAGTTTTTGTTTGAGGAAACAAATGAAAGGAGTCAGAGGAAAGCCAGAGTGTATTTCACAAGAACAGAGACGTCTATTCTCTCTCCGGGCAGCAAAGGAGAAAAACATAATTCTGTTATTGCAGCATTTTAGTCATTTCCATTTGTAGAGCAGAACGTTCTTTTTGTGTGCCATCATAAAACTGTGTGTGATTGGCTGGAAGTTTGAGGTGAATGTTGTAACTCTGAAGTTTGCTGCAGTGGGAAGGTCTTTCCTGGAACTCTGCTCCTGAATTTTTTTCTTTTTTTTTTAACTGTTCTGGCCTTAAAGAGCTTGTTCTGCCTATTGCAAACCTCAGTTTTTTCACTCAAAAGATAAAATTGTGCACCTAAGACACCTAAAGGTTTGGCTGGCAGAGAATTTTATTCAGCTCAATCAGGAGAAAACATGAAGTAAGTGGCCCAGATGATCAGAGAGAGAAAGTTTAAATCCAGACTGTGGGAATAAACTCTTCAATTCAAGTAAAGAGTTTCCTTTATTCCTCTTCTTTTATGATCACTCTTTCCATTCTCATTGGTCATCCACTCCTCTTTGTTTCATCTTGGGGCTCCTAAGTTGGCAATTTCCTGAAGACTTCATCAACAAGTCTTTCCAATGTCATCATCCAGTGCCTCCATCCCTTCATCATGCTTCTCCACTTAACCTTAAACTCACATCATTGCAATGAAGTCCTTGATCTTGATTTGCTCTTTGATCTCTGATTGATTGTTCAACTACAAAATCACTTATTGTTGGCTGTTTTTTTCAGGAGTGATTTTAGATTAATTTGGATCCTGCATCACTAAAACAGAAAAACTGCACTTGTATCTTCAGCTGAATTTCTCTCAAGACATTTTATGACAACTCCAATGCCTCTATTCTGAGTTGTAAGCAAATAAAACTGATTATGTTTTGGATCCCACCATTTCTATAAAAAGTGCAGAGATGCCTTTTTGCATTGGATTATCACAGTGCCTCAGTTCAGCAAAATGTATTGGGTAATTTGTTTACTTTCCAAATTCACAAGGGTCTCTGCAATCATTACAAATAAAATGTGGTCCCTATAAAACTAAATCCTTTGCTTATAGGGTTTTATTTCCAGTTTAATGATCTAAACATTGTGGAAATTATTTGGGAACAGCTCATTCCTGTTGATAAAAACTTATTAACATAGAAAAAGCATTATCTGGGGACTCAATGTCATAAAAAAATTACTCCCAATTTCTGTTTTTATGTTATTTGCACAGGATAATCAAAGCCTTTTGTTGAAATCTACAGACATCTTCCGGATATGACACTTTGCATCGATTTGACGAATGACGTGAGTTGATGTTAATATTAACACAGGATCTCGCAGTTCAGCAAAATATAGTAGGGGAATTTTTAACTTTCCAAATACTTCCTCTTTAAAACCTTTAACCTTTTTTTTCCTTTAAAAAAAGTTTATATGCGAATTAACAAATTAAAAACAAGAATTATACTTAAATAAACAAAATTCACATTTTTGTAAAAAGTGGATTTATGAATTGTTGTAGATGAAAACATTAAAAGGTTTTGTGCAATTGCAGTTTCTAACTTTTCTGCATTTATTGTTTTTTATTTGGGAGTGACTTAATTTACGTTTGAATAAATGTAGGTTGATATTTGTGGTTCTAGTTTCTCCCAAGTGAAGATAAATGCAGAAACTTTGTTGTTAATGATTATTTTGTATCTCATTTTTTTAAAACAGGATGTTATTTATCTGTAGAAAGTAAAAAGTTTACATCAACATTCAATAT